TAAATAAATAAATATCAATTTTTGTTGAATTTTTTTCCGTTGAATCCCTAGCCTCGCACGAGACGTGCTCCTACCTAGTATTATATAAAGCTTAGAAAAATTAGAAAGGAAAAGAGATATATCTTGTAGAATCTAGTCACTCTATTAATAGGACTCGATGATAGAATGTGTGCATGTCTATTCTAAGTCCTTGTTCAGTTCACAATTCGAATCACAAATCAAGTTTTATTCTTACTTTACTTTTTTTCCATAAAAATTTAAATTTAATTTTTTTACTATAGTGTTTTCTCTCACATATACAACTTAAGTCACAACTCAAGTTATAACTTGAGCTGTAAAATTAGAAAGTAAACTTATGACCCGTTCACTTCGCTGATTCGAGTTTGTAATTTGAGTTGAGATGTGATTTTGTGTGAGAGCTTTTTACTGTAGCAAAAAAGTTAGATGTGACTGTTTCTGAGAGCTTTTTACTGTAGCAAAACTCGAATTCTAAACTCGAATCGGCGAAATGAACGAGGCCTTAATAGTTTTATTTATTCTCGGTAAAATGAGAATTATAAGTTCTATACCGTCTAAAAAAATAGTCACTCTATTAATATTAAAATTAGCGAAACTAATTTGAGAATTTTCTTGTAATTGAGTTTGAATTCTTAAACTAGTGATCTTCTCCGGTATGCTAACATAGCAGTAAGTTAAGTTTTTTATCTATTAAATATGTATAAAATCAGGTAAAAGTCATAAAATATACATATTAAACAATTAAGAGAAACTTAATCTATTAATATACTGGCGTACTAAAAAATCTCCTCTTAAACTATCTAAAAAATTAATAGTAAACAATTCCGCATTGTCATATCACCACTTTTTTGAGTCACTCAACTTGGGACCAATGCCTTCAATATGATTCTGCTTTGTACAATGAGGCTTTGAATATTTGTAATTTTCATAGATAAATTGTCTTATTTAAGTGAAATATGGAAATTGAGATGGACTTTGCCTTAGAAGGCCCCAATTCGACATATTATAAAATAATCACTCAAGAAGCGAAAAATAAAAAATTAAACTGATTGTTTTACAGTCAAATGTTTTTTGGGAGTGCAAATTCATCAATACTATTTGTTGTTTAGTGATTAATTATGACAAATTAGTGATTCATCAACAAAAAAACAGTTTTTTTTTTTTTTATCTAAAAAAGAATAAGTTCAACCATTACCTAATAAAAAGTTTGATCATTAATAAAAAAAGATTGCCAAAACCAACGATCAAACATATTTTCCTTTTTCCTTTTTCTGGAAATGTAATAAGAATTTTTTTTCCTTAGACATGTAATAAAAGATTATTTCTTTTTTTTTTTTTTTAACTTGGAATAAAATCATCTTGGTACCTTATGCTATATTTTAAAGGTACATTGTGTCTTTTAGGCGGACTATCGGCCTTCAAAGTTTTTTTAAAAAAAGATCGCAGAGGTTATCGGCATTGAGTTTGTGCCAACAGAACTATGGGTAGTCATCGGAATGAAGTCGTTCAAGGGGAATAAGTTGTTGTTCTTTTACCGTAGATCTAGGACGCATTTTACGCAGGGTTCCATTGAAACTCCGAGAACTAGGTCGCGAAAGGGAGACGCAGAAGATTGATCGGTGTGTGTGGCAGTCGCTGCCCATCAACGACCGTGCGTGAGATCCATGCGCCACCGTATTTTTGACACTTCTGTAGTTGTTTCATGTGCTTTTTCTTGGAACTGCGCCTATCGTGCTTCACTTATTTCTAGCATTGAGGTGCTTGATCTTGCTGGGTTGATCTTTTAGAATTTTTGTAAAGTTTATTATAGTTTTTATGTTTTTTTTATTTATGTTAGTGTTGTAATAACGGTAACGGTTCTCCATCTGCCCGCGTTTTGTCTCAACTAGAGTGGTTTTTTCACCGCGTTTAGTCTATGTTGTGTGGCTTGGGTCCATTTTGTGAATAGGATGTGGCTTATCTTTCTGTGTGGCCGAATCATGTTATCGTGCCACTTATTGAAGGAATCATCTCAGTTGCTGGATTAAAACTATATTTATATTGTCTAATTACATGAGTGACATCCATTTTTTAGCTTCAAATTTGTGTTGTATCTGAACGCTTTAGTGACTCTTTAATGAATTATATCTGAACGCTTCTCTTTAATGAATTCTCATTGCCCATTGATTATCAAAAAGAAACATTTGTTTCATATAATCAAATTTAAATCATTAATTCTGTTACAGTATAACGCTCACATATAAAACTCTAATTTTAAATATAAAAATAAAAAATTATAAATTTGAGTATACCTTATTCACGGCCCTAAGAAGTCAAGATTGTTGCACGAGAAGAATCTTTTTCTTGAATGAATATGAGATGTTTATTTTCTGTATTCGTATAATTTATAATTCTCTATAATATTTTTTTCTCATAAAAAATACACATAAAATAAAAATAATTTTAAATTATAATTTTAAATCATAAATTAAACATCCACTAGAACAGCAGTCAACTCGGCTTTGCGCGTCAGCTTGCTTTGCCCACCATTCCCTCTTCTTATTTTATCTCCCTCCTCACTCACTTCTCTGACCTCACTCTCTTTCAGACTCAGGCCTTAATCTCTCTCTCTCTCTCTCTCTCTCTCTCTCTCTCTCTACCATCGGATATGTGTTCCTTATTGAATTCTCCCCACCAAATTTCGGAATTGGTTTTTGCACATAAATCGCTTGATGGGATTTTTTTTTTTAAATAGCTCTCATTTATCTCTTTACTTTATCTTGATTTTGATTCCACTATGTACTTCTTTCTGTTATTTTTATTTTTTATTTTTTTTTTGGAACACGAAAACCACTTTAGAATTAAACAGTCAAATCGGCAAGTACAACCGAAGATACAAAGTAAGGGATCATATAAATCCCAACAAAATCATGTGAACAATTAAAACCAAAGAAAGCTAAAACATGAGCAACATTATTACCACTCCTATTTATATGAGAGCACTCCCACCTCCCCATAGAGGATAATAACCGAACAATGTCCTCTATAATAACACCTTCTTCGCCCATCGTTAAGCTTTCCTTGACCGCTTGAACTACACGGACAGCATCAACTTCGGCCACGCTGATGGATAACCCCTGCTCTTGTGCGAAAATTAGGCCTTCCCAAAGGGCCATGCATTCAGCTAAAAAAGGTGAGAAAGAACCCGCAATCCGCTTCGCCAGACAAGCACATACTATTCCTTCCCCATCCCTGATGACAGCGCCTATCCCAATGGAACTCATACCCTCTCGAACTGCCGCATCAGTATTAAGCTTCAGAAGTCCAGCTGCCGGAGGTTTCCAGCGTACTTCACTAACAGGCACCGTAGTCCGATGTTTGGCCGTCGGATCCCAACAACTCTGAAAATCAGCAATTGTCCGCCCAGTTGTACCTAGGATCTCCATCGGCTCCCGATATACTCGGTGATGTACAAATTGATTCCGAGCCGCCCAAATCGCCCACGCCAGTACACAGAAAATTTCAAGATCCTCTCCAGTTGCTTCTTTGCTAAACATAACGCATAGAGCTTCAAAACCTCCAGTGTTGAGAGGCTCTAACTTGTGCCAAAGGGCACTCACTTCCCACACCTGAATAACAGCAGGACACATCCATAGAGCATGCCAAGTAGACTCCTCCTCCTCACCACAACACTGACATCTCGTTGCACAATTAATCCCCCTCCTTGCTAAATTGGCAAAGGTTGGTAAAAAACCGGAAGCTGCCCTCCACATGAAATTCTTGATTTTATTCGGGATATGAAGATCCCACAGTTTCCTCCACCACACACTATCCCCTCTCCCTCCAGAACTACTAGGCGAATTTCTTAGACCCATGGCCAGCTTGTAGCCGGCACGAACAGAATAGAGCCCCTTAGAATCATAATGCCACACCCAGAGATCTTCACTAGAGCCACAACTCAAAGGCATGTTGAGAATAATTTCTTGATCAATAGGGAGAAAAATATGACGAATTAGCTCCCGGTTCCATTGCCTATTAATAATAAGATCTTCCACCAACCAATCTTCAGTTTCTTCAGTCACTGCCGTAATTGGACGAAATGAATGAGGTCTAAGGATCCAAGGGTCCCTAAAACATCGAATGGATTTCCCAGAACCAACACGTCTACGGATGCCACTCTTCAACAGTTCTCGTCCCCATAATATACTACGCCAAGTATATGAGGGGTTGTGTCCAATATAAGCATCAAGAAAATCACCCTTTGGAAAATAATTAGCCTTAAAAATCATGGCCACCAAGGAGGAAGGTTTTGAAAGGATTCGCCAACACTGCTTCGCCAGAAGTGCTTGATTAAACGCTCCCACATCACGAAAGCCTATACTCCCATCTCTCTTAGGACAACATAATAGCTCCTACTTTGCCCAATGAATCTTTTTCTCAGTGTCGTTGCCGCCCCACCAGAACCGTGAAATCATAGCTTGAATCTCCTGACAAAGAGTTTGAGGGATCCGAAATACACCCAAGGTATACGTGGTAATAGCTTGGGCCACTGCTTTAATCAAGATTTCCCTTCCTCCCATACAGAATAGCCTTCCTCTTCAAAGCTTGAGCTTCTTAAAAACACTATCTTTGACTGCATTAAAAATAGCCCGTTTGTTCCTACCGACAAAAGAGGGCAACCCAAGGTACTTATCATAAGAGAGACTATTCTCATCAACCCGCAAACACCCCTTAACCTCATCTTTTGATTCTTCCCTAGTGTTGGGACTGAAAGTAATTTTTGACTTAGCAAAATTGATCACTTGCCCCGACGCCTTCGCATACATCTCAAGGATCTTCGCTAGTGATTTTTACTCGAAAAATCAACGTGTGTTTTTAATACAGTCTTCTCTCCAGCCCCTTGGTAGCTTCCCTGCTGCTCAAGACGCTGTGAGAGGTTACACTCACCGGTGTGTGTGAGTTTTTTCTTTTATCTCAGTGGTGATTTCGTTAAGTCTCCTTCTATGGAGGATATTGCAAACCGCTGGAAAAGTTTTTCTATTGAGGAGGAAGAAGAGGATGTTGTTGGAGTTGATGAGTCAGTGTTGGAGGAAGGACGAAAAGCCATGAAATGTGGCCTGTTGGGTAAGTTGTTATCATCTAAACCATATAACAAACGATTCTTTCAATCAACGATGATTGATATTTGGCGGATGCCTAGTGTAGAGTCACGGGAAGTGGCGAAGGATGTATTCTTGTTCTCTTTTGCCAGTGCTCGTGATCGAGATAGGGTTCTGGATATGGAACCTTGGAGTTTTGATCGAGCGCTTGTTGTTCTGAAGCCAGTAGAGAACGGTGATATGGCGGATAGCGATGATTTTTGTTATTCAAAGTTTTGGGTCCCGTTACATAATCTTCCGTTAGAAGGAAGGTTATCACGAATTGGAAAGATGGTTGGTGATATTATTGGTAGTACGGTGTCGGTTCAACAAGATGATAAAGGACGATGCTGGGGTCAGTATGTGCGTGTAAGGGTGGTCCTTGATATCACTAAACCGATTCGTCGCCAAGTCAAAATCATATTGGGTGATGGTGAATATCTAGTTTGGACGGATCTACGGTATGAAAAGTTGCCGGATTTCTGCTATGGCTGTGGGAAGTTTGGCCATGGAACCCGTGAATGTCCGGCTGAAGGGGTGGCTGTTGTGACAGATCTATCGATCCTTCCTTATGGCAGTTGGTTGAGAGCACCTAGAATGGGTGGTGGAAGTCACCGCCGGGTAGAACGGAGGCCGGCTCGCACCAACGGCGATAATCTGTCTCGTTCGCTTCGAGGAATGGAGATTCCGTAAATCTCGCCCTTAGTTTCGGGATCACAACAACGTGATTTGGTGGATGTGATTGCAGTTACTGAAAATCTGGCGAAGTCAACGTCACATTGTGGGAATGTTCCAAAATCAGTTTTTAGGACGGATGTGGCGTAGAATACGGTTAGGGCGTTATCTCCGGAAACAAACAATGATTTGGTAAGGCCAAAGGCTATTATGAATGACGTGGCAAGTAAGGGATTGAAATGCAAAAGGGATGTTTGTGAAGGGTCTGATAGTTCTTTGTACGTGCATGGCTCTAATGTACTTTGCATGGGAATAGTTGCTAACGTGGAAAATGGAGAAGGAATGCTGCATGAGGCTTTGGGTAATGATGAGGGAGCTTTGCTGGACAAGGATAGCCCACATGGTGGATTGTTCTCTTTCTCGGCAGGTGATGGAGAGGAGAAGCATAAGAACGGTGGGCGAGGTGTGAAGGCTAAACGAGGTCGGCGACCTAGTGTTTCTTCAGGTTCTGAGAGAAAGGTGGTGGAGAAGAGGAAGGAGGTGTCAGCAGG